ACTGTTCCATTAGTCATGACTGCAATCCAACATGGGACTGCACAAAGGAAATCTCTAATAAATCACTTGTGCTAACTAGAGACACAACTCTTGCCAAGATATGCAACTGGCTGCTCCCAATTAAAACCTAATGAGGAAGACCTACGGAGGAGCAGCAAATGTCCAGTGAGGTGTGGCTGGTTTCATGTTAAAGAAACATCTGTTTGTTTATTTGCAATACTTAGTCCTTTCAGTTACATCACTGAAAAATTTCAATCTTTTCCTTAGGCTGTTGTAGCTTGTGCAAGAAGGAGTTTATAAAACCAGGACAAGAAATTACACTATAAAAAAGGTAGAAAAGGAGCAAGATGCAAAAGCAGATGAGACAAACATTAAGGAAGGAATCAAGGAAGAATGAAAATTCAGTCGAGCAATTCAGTCCACAGTGGAGAGGTGGATTACCTGAACACATGGAAACAGAAAAATTAGATTTAGAAATAAAGTATAAAGATGATGTGGAATCACTAGAAATAAAATAGAGACCAGCACAAAAAAACAGGAAAGAACTCAACAGTGAAACAAAGATGACTATAAATAGGGTCGGGGTACAAAGGACACAAAGAAAAAAGAGGCAAAGCAATATTAAAACTTATGGTAAAGGGCATCTTAATGCAGTAGCACTCAGCTGTCCAATAAAAGCACTGCAGCATTTGTCCAAATACAACACAAGCAGTTGACACCTGCAAATTAAAGTGCATGACACAGACTGCAATATATCAAACTGAAAGGGTTCTAGGGAAAAGGACAGTGAATGAAAACCTGAGAGACCTGTATTAAATTACAAGTTTGGCCATTATCTTCCTATGAGATATGAAAAATGGTAATATAATACCTCCTACCTTGTTGTGAGGATAAAACTCATTAATTATCATGAAGTGCTCACACATTACATATAGCACTGCAGGGGAAATAAGCAAGTAGAATCTAATTGCTGTTGTAGGATAAAGAGTACAAAAGGTATATTACTGATTGATGGACTAAGGCGTTACAAATTGATTGTTTTATCTGAGACACTGAGAAATCTACAGGCCAGAGAATGATTGGTCTTCACGTGCTTTTTTTTTTTTTTTTTTTTAAGGCCAAGCAAACACAGTCATTAGATTCAAAAAGGCCCATCGAGAGAGCAGATGAAAAATGAGAGAGAAGGATCTCCTGAATGTGGTACGTAAACAGGAAGAAGGAAAGCAAACTATACTGCAGCATATTGACACACACAGAAAAAGTACACAGAATTTAAGTTGGAGGACTGTTCTTCTGATAAAGCTATAATTTTATAAGGAAGAGTGGAGACAAATAGAAACTGGCAGGCAGGACCTGTGAGATTAATTTATTCTAATTCTTCAACATCTAAAAGTTAAGATCTAAAAGTGTCCGTTATAGGAACCTGGTCAACAAAGAGAAACACACATCTAGAAGTGATTCAGCTGACCTTAGAAACCTATCTCAGAATAAACTGAACAGCTCTCTAGAGGTATCCCAGTGTCTAGCTTAGATATCTAATTTTAATAAATAAATTTCTGCTACTAATTATTCCTACTGGAAATAAAAGAGAAATACAATATCATGTTCTGTGATTAAATGAAGGCTCACGGCATGGAAGAGAAAAATACATGAACTTGTTAGACACAGCAAAGAATGGATGGCAAAAGCAGTTTTACTAACCAGTGCTTCAGAGACGATTTTATTAAAATCTCTAAAAAAAGATGCCACCTAAGTCCCCTCAAGCCTTTTTTCAGGCAGGAACAGGGGAGAAAAGTCTGTCGTTTTTGCATACATAGTTGAGAAATGGATGTAGGTTTTCTCAAAAAAATTCAGTATCAGATCACTGACCATTTTATCCTTATTGCTGCTTCTTTCAAGTTAGATTACTGATCACAATGACAGCAGAAGCACAAATACAGCTATTTTCACACTCAATGTGTTTTATCAAAAAGTATTTAACTGATTTTACCATCTTAATGGGACAAAAATCATCTGTAAGCATACCTACAAATTTCTATTCCCAACAAAGTGCTACAACTAGAATACAAATTTTTCTTGGATTCCTAATCTGTATTTATCTAATCAGCCTCAACTTTACTGATGAAGGAAAATAATTCCTACATTTTAATTTTTTAATAAATATTTACATAAAAATGTTAACAGTGAAAAACTCAAGACACATGGAATAGACTTTTAGGAGGTGCATGTTAGTGGTTCCTGAAATACCGGGCCTTTTAAAGGGATCCAAATCTGCGTGTATAAATTACATCTCTAAAATAATTTTTCTTCTTCTATAATATAAATAAGATTTATTTTGTTTATTAAGAATTAATACTGATATTGCAGCTGAAGGAGGATAACGTTTAGCATCATTATGAAATAGTCACCTTTTCTAAATAGCAAGAATCACAGAATGAAAGAATCATTTACATTGGAAAAGACGTTTAAGATCATTGAGTCCAACCATTAACCTAACACTGCCAAGTCCACCACTAAACCATGTCCCTAAGCACCACATCTACATGTCTTTTAAATACCTCCAGGGATGGTGACTCAACCACTTCCCTGGGCAGCCTGCTCCAGTGCTTGATAAGCCTTTCAGTGAAGAAATTTTTCCTGACATTCAATCTAAACCTCCCCTGGTGCAATGTGAGGCCATTTCCTCTCATCCTATCACTTGTTACTTGGGAGAAGAGATCAACACCTGCCTCATTACAACCTCCTTTCAGGTAGTTGTAGAGAGCGATAAGGTCTCCCCTCAGCCTCCTTTTCTCCAGACTAAACAACCCCAGTTCCCTCAGCTGCTCCTCACAGGACTTGCGCTCTAGACTCTTCACCACCTTCCTTGCTCTTCTTTGGATGAGAAGAAGCAGAATTCCAGGATGTTTCTCTAGGATGAACAAATCCAGCCCTTAGCAGATATGCTGAACCAATGAGGAGGTATCAGTGGCTGAGATATCTGAGACTGGCCTCTCTTTTCATGGTGTAATTAGAACTCATGGGGAACTTTTTAATGGTACCTCCTTGAGTCAAAACATTTTTTCTGATCAGCTAGCCAAGTTTAAATGACTGACAGAAAGCACACACTCTCAAACAACCAGAGCTTGTAAATACTGTACTTTCTTGGTATCTTTTCCCTTCACATTGTTTTCTAAACTTAGAATTAAATAAAGAGATTAAAAGCAAAAAAAACTCCTTTTTCCCCCCCTTCTCCCTCTTTACCCTTTTGATTTGAGGACTGTTATGAATGAAAGAAAAATACTTATTTCAATACATATAGCCCTATAAACATACTGGCAACTCAAACAGAACCACAGACTCAGTGCTGTATTTTTATATTTTACACAGTCCATATAGCACAGATCTGCAAAACATTTCAGCTCACTAAGCTGAAATTCTTAGGACTTAAAGTTTTTCATTGTGATTCAAAACATTTCAAAATAATAACTTAAGCTGGCGTTGGGTTTTGGTATTGCACTCTGTGTTGTTGATGCCATATTACAGTGTTACTTCTTTCTTGACAGATTGGCCCTGACTCACAAGGAACTACTCCTAACTCGACAATAATGTCATTCCAAGACTTCAAAAAGACATAAAAAGAAATAAAACTGAAACAGAAATACAAATAAGACATCTGGTGAAATAAATTTTTTTGGTTTGTTTTTGGGGAGGTTTTGGTGTGGTTTTATGGGGGAACAAAAATCCTGAGGAAAGTCAAAGAAAATGAGAGTAAATTCTGGAACAGTATTTCCTTCCTGCCTTGCCTGACAGATTTGAATTTATGTTGTAGAAGTAGTCACCTCAAGACCTTTCCCAATGCTATTTAATTATAACAGATACAGCAGGGCCTTCTCCTTCACACCATAATCTACCATCACTATGTGGTACATTTAGATTCAAAATCCAATGTTTAAGCTTTGTAATTCTGTTTCCAGAAGTGATTAGCACCTGCAATCCCAGTGCATTTCATGAGAAGAGAACAATATCTTTCAAAATTATGTTACTTTTAATGAATTTTACTTAAAGCATGCAAATTTTAAAACTCAGGGCGGCAGACTTTGTTGTATCTGAATTCCAGAACTCGTGACTCTATATAAGCATATCAAACAGTTCTGCTTGACATGATCTATGTACCTTCTTTAATTGCCTTACAGCAGAAGCATCAATTACAATAGTGATGCCATCAATCTCTAAAGAATACTTGATTAAAAAGTGCAAATGAAGCATGCTGGCAATTCTGATTAATACATTTACAACATTTTCTATGGTTTTATAAATTAAATCTATAATGAAGACAAGCAGTTGTATTATCTCAAGTGAAGGTGAGCATAACTTGTCTTCTCCCCACAAGACATTAAGATTTATAATAGTTAAAGCCATATAGGAAACTTCAAACCATTTAAAGTCAGAGTTTTAGTAGAACCAGGAATTGAAATATCATACACTTTGCCTAAATCTTGGGACTGGATATTCAATTTCTCCAAAGCTGATTACAGTCATATGAGTGATCACAAAGTGCATGAAAATAGTTATTCAGTAACATTTTACATCTGCTTTCCCCTCATGTATAAAATTTCTTAAAAAGAATACAGAACAAGATAATATGAGGTTGGAAAATAGGGCCAGAAAATGGTTCCTTCAGAGTAAATTATTTATATTTATCATTTTGATTCTCCAGTCCTATAATTATGATTTTATTACATTTCAAAAAGTGAATGATACTGCTGTCAAGATCTTTTTTCTCCCAGCACATTCCCTGCCTGATCAGCAACTCAGACTGTATGAGGGAAGACAGACTTTGAGAATTAGAACATAAAATATTATCTGGCTCTTGAGGAAAATTTTCAAGACATTTCTAAGTTTCTTGATTTCTTGCTTCTGCAAAATACTTAAATGCTAGTCTAAGAGTTTCATTAATATTTTAAATCCCTTACTTCTCTACGATTACAGGCAATGAAACAAAAAAACATACTACTTACATCATTCTGATCATCTTTTGCATTGTAATAGATTATATCATTATTCTGTAAGAGAAAGAAAATAATTGTTAGTTTGAAAGTAGAGAATAAAGTTTACTAGCAATAATTTGTACTAAAATACATTTTAAAATAAAACTGCATTTCTTTATGTATTATTATCTTTGAAATATGACAGAATCAGACCTTTCCTAGCTCTCTGTTGCATGTAATGTTTCCCATGCTTGTGTTTAACTTTTAACATTCATTTAATGCTTCTTCCCTGTTAAGCTACATAAGTCTCTCAAAAAGCCAGCTAGAAAAGTACAGACAACGTTGGACAAAATCCAGAGCTCATAAAAGTCTTCTGTAAGCTGTTTCTTTTGCAGACATATGACTCTCTCACTATGCAATTAGGTGATTTATACACCACGACATCTAGCAGGCAATAGATACAACGACGCATGGGCATTGCTAAGTGGGTTAAGTATTTGTTGCACACAGGTTTATTGTTTTATTCACCTCCCACGGTGAAAATAAAATCTGGGAAAATACATGACAGGAGAGTCTGGCTGTTGTAGCATAGGGCGGATCCTGGCAGCTGTGTGGAAACGCTGTACTATGAAATTCAAGCAAAGCAGTGAAGAAGATTACTAGTTTCCGTCACAGAATCAGTCAGAAGCTTCATTCAGTGTAACATCTACAGTAGTTTGAAAATTGGGGTATTTCCTATGGAATACAGTATTGTTTCCTCTTGAAATATTTCTGAACCGTTTAAAAGCCTTAAAGATTTAGGTTCACTGTAGTAGCTTTCCACTAAATAGAATTGCTGTAATGTGCTCTATACTTTTTTGAATGAAAGTAAGCAATTGTTATGTGCATTTCTGTATGAAATAGACACATATATGTACATAGCATTTTTTTAAGTCCCATTACAGATTTTGAATAAATAAAGAAAAGAAGGTAATTTTTTTCATGTCCAGCAGCTTGTTTAAAATAGGTGATTGCTGTTAACCTCCAAAAATAACCTTAATTTATATTTTCAGTTCTGTTTATGGTAATACCTTTCAATTTATATATCTAAATTAAAAGTTGACCACAAAAATGTTTTTTCTTTTATAAATACCAACAGGAAAAAATTATTTCAGTAATCATTTTTCAAGTGGGTAAGCCAACGACAATTATTACTTGCACTAAAAAAGCACCATGACGTGCTACAAGGTAATGCAGTTCATGTTTATAAACCACCATTTTCCTCACTTCATAAATAACAACATCGTTCATTCTCCTTTGTGACCTTTTTGAGATCCAAACATGAAATATATTACAGATGACCTAAAGGCCATTTTGAGGTAAATGCTATTCACTCTTTCCTTTTCCTTCAAAATGCACTTTTCTACTTTTCCATCACGACAGGTCAGTCAGTTTTGTACCAGTATCTGGGTAACTAAGCCAGACCTCAGTGTGTTACAGACAGATGAGGAAATTCCTTTCATCATTAAAGACCAAAGCTAATTGCTTATTCACTTGATTATTGTGAAGAAAAGACCATGTAATGCTTGTGGAAGCCTTCAAGTAAGTTGGAAGAGGCAAAAGTTCAATTTTCTTCAGATCCTCTTTACTTTGTACATGGTTGTGTGCAAAATAACTGTTCTGTAAATAATTTGATCTGTTCAAAAAGCCATGTGATTCTTTAGCAGGCAACATTTAAAACTGCAAAGGCTCCAACTCTGAGTGGTACTAGCTGGAAATGTTAGCAGAACTGTTTTCATCACAAGATGATCTGTTTAATTAAAAAAAAAAAAGTTGTTTCATGTCAGAAGGCAGGGGAAAAGAATACTTCCTTCACCACACCCCCTTATGTCATGTCATGTCATGTCATGTCATGTCATGTCAGAGCACCTCCCCTGCAATCTCTTTCCTGGAAGCTTTTGTTTGGGGAAAAATGAGACCAGGAAAAGCAATACAGACATACTTATCTGGATATTATGTTTATATAGTTTTTGTTTCTTGGTTTCATTTTAAAAAGAAACATTTTCATAAAACACAACTCTATTAGGCCTTCTCTTGTATTGACTCTCATCTAGGTATCAGTTTATTTCCCCACCCCCTTCCCATTATTCAAGTTTACCCTAACAGTATACCTTGTCATAGAATCATTTAATGCATAGGATTTTTAACACTGTCCTCTACGCATACAATTCTGTTTATCTACTTAAACAAAATGATTCTTTATTGTCACAATTATATTTTCCCCTGTCTTTTATATTGTTTAAATTGATCGAAGCTGGCACAGTATTGCTATCTACTTCTACTGGACTAAACAGTATTTTTTAAATCACCTATTAAAGAATCAAGTTTCAGAAACATGACACATTTACAAGTTAATTAAAATAACCATCCCCACCCCCCCAAATGAATTAGATATTTTGTTAAGACTATTCACGTAGTTCATTACCCTGCCTGGAGATACCACCTATATAATGCATAAGCTAACACTGACATTGGTCATATCTCACTACTTTTAATATAGAAAATATGACATACACATTGCTACAACACACTGAACACTGTATAGTTCACAAATTAGATTCATGGATCAGTTAGATTTTTAGAGGACAATTTTTCATAATTTAACCACTTCTAGCTGACAAGAACAAATTGCCTTGTTGCTGGTTCTCAAGCAAGTAGTTTAGTTATTTATTAACTTCTTGACACAAAGAATTTGAATCTTCCCACTGTTGTACACTTCTGCCATCAGGTAATACTGTACACTTATCCAGCTAGCCTAAGATACAATGTAAATATCCTAGATATTTATTTTTGTTCTTTACCCAGTAATGCTATGAGAGAGAGTGGTAAATACTCACTGTTACTTCTGTTCATGAATTAACAGATTTAGTAAGACAGTCCTGGAGCTGAATTTATGGAAGAATGACTTTAGAAGACCATACACATAAATGAGAGACTTTAGCATACTATCAGTATACAAGATTACAAAAGGTATGCAGTTGGAAAGGTGAAGGGTAGTTTTCACCGCCATTAATTCCTCTTTCAAAGCAAACAGTTTCAGCATCTGACAAGGATATGCAAGGCATATAAAAATTACATTAAGGACAAGGTCATAAATGTTTTATTTGTGACTCTTACTATTTTCTCCTATTCTACCCTACTAATCTTTTTTCTTCCATACTTTCATTGATATTGTTATCTGCTGAAGTTAGATTCTTCCATTGTCTTTATATTGCTTTTCATTTCAATAGTACTTTGTTTCCCAGCTTTGCGTATAAAACAGTTCCAAGGGAAATACTACATATTGGGTAGTATTAATAACTTCCCAAGTTTCACCACACAGAATCCAAAGTTTCTGGTCTCTATGATCTCTGTGTCTAGAGATTTGAAGAAACACATAGATTCATCAAGTAGAAGAAAAGCATGGGAAAATATAATCTTTCAGAACATCTGCAGATGAAATTTGGATTCATACCAACACTAACTTACACTCTCATTTTGAATCTCTACGGAGCAAGTTTACAGACCCAGTCTATTGATTTGACTAGTTAAATGCCTAATCTCAACTCAGGATTATATGAATGGAGCTGAAGTTGGCTTGTCCTCACAAGAAATAATTTTTTTTTCAAATTGTGGTGGGATGACCCTGGCTGGATGCCAGATGTGCATCTATCACTCCCCTCCTCAGCTGACCTGGGGGTCTGTGGGGCTGTTTCACTCACATGTTCTCACTCCTCTCTCTGGCTGCAGTTTCTGTGCCCCAGCAACTTTTTTTTTTTCCCTTCTTAAATCTGTTCTCCCAGAGGCACTACCACCATCACTGATGGGCTCAGCCTTGGCCAGCGGCGGGTCCGTCTTGGAGCCGGCTGGCATTGGCTCCATAAGACATAGGGGAAGCTTCTAGCAGCTTCTCACAGAAGCCACCCCTGTAGCTCCCCTGCTCTGCTACCAAAACCTTGCCACACAAACCCAATACACCAATCAAATTCTTTCAAGAACAACACAAAGGTATTACACTGCAACAAGACATATCTGACTCTACAGACAATTATGTAAATTGTGATAATATAGCTATGTCATTTTGTTTGTAAAAGCTATATATCCTCCTTTACTCTACCAAGTGCCAAAGATGAAATCTCCTTGTCATTGCCACATAATGGCTTCTGTAGGAAAATCTGCTCTGTAAATCCAATGCTAGACTTCCAAGAATTTTCCATGAAATATGGACCCCATCAACTTGGTCAAGACTCTTCTTCGGTGGAAATATTGTACATGTGATTTCTGAAGTATCTGCTTTTCCACAAGAGATGTTTGCATTTAATTCAGAAAAGAAAAAAAATATATATATACTGGAAATCTTAAGATTTTCAACAAACATCCAATACTATCTATTCAGAAATGTTGCTTTCGCTGAAGCTGTGATTATGATTACTCATGCCCTCAGGTCTGTGCGTGAGGCTTCCTACAGACTCTACATAACTTAGATCCTGTGATGTGGCCCCAAATGGTGTTAGGCACGCAGGGGAGACTGAAGGCCTGAAATGAATTCTAGAACTTTGTGAGACACTATAATGAACTACCTGAAAATAAATGAGTTATTTAAAAAAAAAATAGGAGGAGAGGGAGAAAACAGTTTTTCACAGCTTTTCGTAGGGTAAGAAATCAACGTAATGTGTTAGTTTAGACAGACATCACCATCACCCATTTTTCCTAAAAACAGCAGTTTCAAAACAATTGCAGAGAAAATGTGAAAGGAAAAATAACACTCTTTTTCATGACCTTATTTGCTACAGAGATGCTAGAAGATAATAAACGCCCTCAGGAAAAAAAACAAAAAAACAAAACAACAAACAAACAGAAGAGTTTTTGTTAAAGGTCTCCATACTTCAAACATTTGAATCAATGAAACACTGGTGGCAAACCTAAAATTAGTCTAGTGGATAAAACTGCAAATATATATTACTGCATAATTATTGGTGTATGTTTTAAAATCTGAAATTAAGGCCAAATATGATTACTTGATTTTTTTTTAAAACAGCACAATTCCCATGACTTAT